CCGTGGCATTGATTCCACAAGGTGCTGATAGGCAGTCTGAGGTATCTGGTACCAAGCGCTCACCAACTGGTCCTGCAATTCCCTCACATTGCGAGGGGGTAGCGTGGCAGCACGAATTTTGTTTTCCAAGTAGGACCACAAATGCTCTATTGGATTAAGGTCAGGTGAATTTGGCGGCCAAGACATGACTTGAAAGTCACTGGAATGTTCCTCGAACCAATCCATGACGATTCGTCTCAGTACGCTTCAAATTTGAAGGCAATATTCATTGAAGTGGGTGTGCTTGAATTTTACGAATATTTACCGCAAGGTTTGAAAATACTCGAAAATTCGCAAAAGAAATTATTTAGTATTATAGAATTATTTTAATTCAGTACTTATCAATGAGAGCAATTATTTTCTGTTAAGAATGGAAATAAATCTCCTGTTCGAAACCGTATTAATAACGCTCACGTTGGGTCAATTTTGAAAGTAGTCTCGGCCAATAAAATTTCTCCCCAAAATAGTAAAGATAGTAGCAGAGAAGAGATGTCAAGTATCAGGACGTAAACAATAATTTAACTTTATATATGTTTATTACAATGTACTATTCAAAATAAAAATATTTGTTTCTGTGAACATTGATTTTTTTGCGGCCCACCTAAAGCTAAGCATTGTTTATTTGGCCCAAGTTAGCTTTTGATTTTGACACCCCTGAGTAGGGCAAACCTGGTAAATATATATGGCATTTAACTAGGCCTAGTACATATTTCGGACATTTACCAAATCGTCTATGTGATTGTCAACACTCACCGGCTGTATATATATATATATACGCTGCGCATAAGCTGCAAGTAAATAGAACTCATAAAATAAGTTCAAAATATCAAACAGAAAACATGGAAGAAATTAAAAAAAAGGGGGGGAAAGAAAAATAATAATAAAAATAACAAGAAACTGGAAAAAAACGCAACTAATCAGTGTAGGAAATCAGTGAATGTATACCGCGCTGTGGAATGTATACCTGTTCATGTAAGTTCATTTGAATTCGATGCTCGCTTTATAGATTTCATTTCATGTTTTATTCTGTTTTTTCTTTTTATTTTATTTTCTGTTTTTACGTGATATTCTTACCTATTGTGTTCTATTTTATTTGTTGCAATTTTTTTGTAAAAATTTTTTGAGTGCTTTTCACACAATTGTATTAATATATTTTGCTTTGGGCTATATTGATGCAATATTAGAGAGCACTCCTTTTTGTGGATATAATCGTGTGAGCTGATGAAAAGATTATATCTTATATTTTTCGAATTTTTATTCATTTTTTCTCCTTTTTTTGGATTTTTTTTCTTCCAGTTTCTTGTTATTTTTATTACTATTTTTCTTTTTCGCCCTTTTTTCATTGTTCTGTAATTTTTCCATGTTTTCCCTACATTTTAAATTTATGTACAATATATACATATTTATATATATATATATGGGTCATTCTCACAAAAACAGTCATTTTCATATCCCCAGTATATTTTATGTTTGTTTTACAACTTACGAAGAAAAAATTTCAGGGAATGCGTCCTTCAGAATGCAGGCTAACAAAAGAATAAAAATAAAATTATTAATTTTTATTTTTTATTTATTTTAGGTAATTAAAATATACCAATATGTCATTCCCTCACTTGTCCCCACTGTTGATTTTAAAAAAGAAAAAAATGTTTCTGAAATAAAAATAAAAAAATTTACAAATTCGTGTTTTTTATTTCAGACTATTGAAATATAGAATTCAGAAAATCAATTTTAAATTTAATTTCTGATAAAAATATTAACACTGCACTATTTTAAACTTTGTCCCTAGTGTTTCGCGCTATTCCCTCACAACAATGTTCTTATCACCTGCAATCTTCTTAGAATAAAAATATTTTAATAAAAACTTTAGCAGTTAGCAACTGGTATTATAGAACAAAATTGCAGTATGTTTCCATCTTTAACTTAAAGAAGCTTTGCTGTGAAATAAATCTGAATGAATCAAACCAGGTAAAATTTTTTACATTTGTCATTCCCTCATGCCGTTTTTTAGAGTAAAATAAAATACAACTTCATCGAGAAAGTGGATAATTATATGTTGCTTTCGTGATGAATATAATGGTATGTGATTGATTTCAGAAATTAATTAGGCCTAACTGTTATTTTTAAATTTTATTAAATTTGTCATTCCCTCACTAGTGTATAAAGTGAGGGAATGATGCTGAAGTGCGGGAATGATTAAAGATGAGTATATAATAAATTTTTTTTTTGTACAATCGTGCCATCCAATTTTATTTCCCTAACCTTTAAAAACTTTTAAGTATATAAAACCCAAATTATAATAAATGTTAGATATACTTAGTATGTTATCATTTTCAAACTTGAGGTAGCTGTAACTTACAGAAAAACATGTATTAAAATAAAATATCATTCCCTTACTTTTTAAACATTGAAATTAATTAATTTATTTAAATGTTAAGTATAATTTATAGGATATATACTTTCTTTATAATGCCATTACATATTTCTATTAATATAAAAAGTTTCAGAGCTTTTTATTCACTTTACTTTTTTGGGATTTTATGAACTGAAAAATGACAGTTTTCGTGAGAATGACCCATATATATATATCCTTCTTATAAAACTTTTCTGAAACATAACGAAATTCATCGTTAATTATTTTAATCCGACTGTTAGTCAATACCTTTTAAAAATGAAGACACCCATTCCTACAAGGGTGATACCGAAGATTACAGCTATAATGATCGTGGCTATTTTCCATCCATAGGGAACAGGTGCTGAAAATAAAATAAAATTTCTTTAAAAATGCATTCCTGTGATATCCTCTGAAAGCAGCAAAGTAGATTTTTCAAATTTTTCCCCATATCCACAAACGCTGCTTTACTCTTGCTTAAATCAAAAATAACACAAATTTATTATTATTATTATTGCTTTTACAAAAGGTGAAGTACCTCATTTGTACAGTACGCAAAATAAAAACTGTTTGTTCATTCCACAAAATATTATAAGCCTCTGAACAGTTTCTGTAACGCAGCAAGTCATGATTTCTTTCAAATACTTTTACTGGGCCTAGAAAGTATGTTTGGTTCCTAATCCTAAGATTGTATTATTTTGCGACTAAAATTTACTCAAACAATTCTTTTGAGAAAATACCATTTTCTACAAGGATCTTAAATCATTTCGAAGATCTTCATTTTCAGTTATTTTGTTTTCTAAGTGATGAAAAATTTTTGCGTAGATATTTCGAAGTTTATTTTAAGGACTTTACTTTGAAAATGCTTGCGTATTAATAATGACCTCACTGTCACCGTCTTGACAACTGATTCTTTTGAAAGTATATTATTTCTTTCAGGTAATTTGGCCTTCTGAAATGAGACCTCATCTAAATATTTCTGAAAAATAAATTCTGATGAGAATTTGTAAGTAGGGGAGAGTTGGACAAAACGGGATACCATTATTCTTTTTATTTACTACAGAAAATCTGCTAAAGAGAGCCACACATTATTTTTTTTATGGCTACATCACTTGTTGAAGCGCAGAAGAACATGTTTTAAACTAATTTTAATGACTGTGAAATAGAAAGAAAGATTATTTTCCAAACTCGTACATATCCCGTTTTAGCATACCTGGGTTGAACGAAACGGGACAGGGTTTACAATGTTTAATTTGTGTAAAACTAACTGAAAAGCATAATTAACTGACAAAAAACTGTAAAGCAAAATTTTTAAAAGTTTTATTCATTTTTTTGCTTCTCACATTTCATTTGATTTATTTATTGCTTCTAGCATTTGTATATAGACTGTTGTTTTATAATTAAGTATAAAAAAATTATGATGCTACACATGTTACTAAAGATTTTATGAATATTCAAACATGAACGCTATTTCGGTAATTTCCACAGTCGTAATGTGTCTGGTGCCCTTAAGAGGAATTTCTTATCAGTCCTTTCTTCAATTTTCTTGGTTCTTTCTTGTAGTTTAATAATCCTTTCTTTTTCTTCCATTTATAATTCACTTTTATATGAAGTTGATGTTATTACTACACTTTTCTTCTTTCTCTTGTCAGCCATTTTTTCGGGGAGCGGTCCTTTTACTTGATGTACAGGTAGAACACACTTTAGAGAGATGGAAAAGGGTAGCTTAGGTCAATAACAAGATAATTCTAATCCTTTCCCCTCTGAGGATGTTGCAGATTGGTCTACTCCTACGATGTCCCTCGAAGATGTTGAAGGTTGCTCTTGGTCTTTGCTCACATCAGTTGACGTTGGGTAATCAATGGTGACAGAGGGTGCAAACAAGTGATCTGCGAAGGTAAGGACTTATGCCAGTTTTGCTAAACCCTTTAACGGTAGTTTCTGCAACAGCTGCTCGTGAGTAGGCTTCGTTGAACAGTTTTGCAACCTATTAAAGTGTAAGTACCTGGATGGTTGAACAGCCACTTTCAAACTTCTCGTGCATAACACGTGTTCAGTGGAGTCATGAAACTGACATCCAGGGGCTGAAGGCGATGAGTTGTATGTGGGGGGGGGGGGGGGGGGGNTGTGGGGGGGGGGGGAAGGTGAGGATGGTTACCTTATTTTCTCTTGCCAAATTTACATTTAGAAGTTCCAAACTTTTGGTGTGACTGTTGTGTCCAACAAGCGGCAACGGCACTGGTTTCTTATATCTAGTGTTGGAAAATTCTACGAACTTTTAAAACCAAACAGTGAAGGTATCTTTAATGATCCTGTCGGTCTTGTGATACACTGCAAATGATCCTGGGAAAGTATCATCCATGAATGTGAGATTTTCCTTCACTCGAGGGAACATAGGAGGGACGAATACTCCAGCTGCACTGATGTCTGTTTCAACAGTAACCAAAGCTCCTCATTCGGCTGAAGACGAGCTACCCACTTGCTTTTTGCCTCTTAGAATCATCACTTTTGAAGGCTTGTGTGGCACAGTTAGAATCTCAGTTTCATCAAAATTATTAATATCACTTGGAGTAATCTTATCTTTACTTAATAGAAAACTGCTGAACTGCAGTGCGATTAAACTCTTTTGCTCGGGCCATACTCGTGGGTTCTGAATTTTGGAGGCTAAGTTCTTTATGTCTGCCAAGAAATCAATACTGCCAACTCTTTCCAGCCGTTTTTTTCCTGTGTTAAAACTATGCTTAATATTGTTTCTCTCAGCTAACTCAAATGCTAGCATTCGTATGTCCGTTAGAGTTATACCAAACAATCTCTCTTCTAGAGCCAATACGTGTTCATGCGTTTATTCTTGTTCAACATTGAATACTGTTTCATATCTGTCCAACTTTTTCACTGCTACCAATTCAGGGATCAATGTATTTGTACAAGACTTTTTTACCTTTCTTTCAATATAGTTATAATAATATAGTAGAAGTAATAATAATAATATAGTAGGGGAGAGGGGGGTCAATTGTAACAGGTTACGATTGTAACAGAGCAAACATTTCGAGTGTCGGGTTCTAGATTTGGTTCCTAGGTGGCGCACAAGGTGTATTTAATAAATCAACATGTATATCCCTGCTGGCAACCATTTTTATGTACTTTTGAAAGAATTACATCACAAAAGATATTTTCATGCTACGTAAGTACTTTTTTGGGTATTAGAATATTATATTGTAACAAAGTAATTTTGTTTAAACAAATAAAAATTATTAACCGAATATGTAAGTGGACACCTTAATTAACATTTAAAAAAAAAAGATTAGTTCCGTTAATTAACTAGCATTGTTTTTAACAAAGGAAGCTGAAATGGCGTCCTGGGGACGATTGTAACAATAAGTAAAGGGACGAATGTAACAGCTGAAAATAAATAATCTTATGTTTACAAGCCATTACTTAACTCTTTAAGAACCACCAATAGTGTCCTATATCATTTACATTATGTTGCATGTGCATTATTTTATTTCTCACCTTTCACAGTATAAATTAAAATTTTTAACCCCTTAAAGTCAAAAGTTTAATTAGGTCTCGGCTCATAATTATTTTTATTCCTAAAATATCCCTACTATTTTGATCAATAAAAAATATATCACAACTATGATAATATGTATAATTAACTATGTTTTAGTTGAATTCATGAACTGTTACAATTGATCCCGAAAGTGGGGACAATTGTAACAAGTGCACGACTGTCAAAAATTGTTAATAACTAATATAATAACATTTAAAATAAGGTATTTATTTTTTTCTTCTAGTAGAGGATAGTCTACTTTACTCGTCTGTCAATTAATACTAATAATATATTGGATTTTTCGTTAGTTAAAAATAGTTAAGTCAAAAATGTTACAATTGACCCCACTCTCCCCTACCTATAATTTCAATATAGTAGAAGTAATGGGCCGACAAAAAATAGGTGGGTAAAACGGGTCATAAAAAAACTTTATACCGTTTTATCCAACTCATAAGTGTCCCGTTTTGTCAAACTCCGACACTTTTTAAAACAAACATGGCTTCTGCCTAAACGTGAAAGGAAAATTAGACAGGCTACACATGAGAATACTCGTTAATAAATGCTTCATCAAATGTAATACTCACCGGAATTGTAATCCCATATATGTAGGCAATTCAATGTAAAAAGCAACGCACGTAAATGCAGAAAATGGCAAATAAAATAAAGTAAAAAAGTTCTGAGACCTACAATTTTCTATCAGCTAGTGATCTTGAGGCAGTGTGAAAGATATAATCACGGTCGAATAACAAGTTTCTGTCGTCGTCCGCTAGATAGCTGGAATAGTCTGATTCCTAGGAGACGTATCCCGTTTAATCCGAATATCCCGTTTTATCCAACTCTCCCCTAATGAAATTCATATTTAATATTGTTTTAAGACTGTTGTTGAACTGCCGACTCGAATTTCAATTAGCCATTCGAAATTCTGCGAAAAAAATCTATCGAAATTCTGCCAATTTTAAACTCTGTAGTTTTGTAATTTTGAACACAATCCAGAAGACATGGGTACTCCTGGATTAAGTATTGGGAGAAATTTTGCCTTCGTAGAGGACTTTTTGATGGAACTAACCCGAACTGCGTTACATTTTAGAGAAAAACCATGAAAGTCTCCCACGGTTAGACTGACGTAAAGGGTACTCTTACTCATAATCCGCTTACCACTGATGCTACTTTACCTCAACACTGTTGTAGGTGCGAGCCGGATACAAAATTGGTGTCACCCAGCTTCGTTGGGATTCGAACCCAGTGCACCTCACTGGGAGGCGAACACTCTATCACCTGAGCCATCACGGCTATCGAAATTCATATTCTGATAATCTTCTACTTTATTTACAATATAAAAATTGTAGATAATTTAAAGATTTTTTAAGAGGTTCAAATTAGAAATACATTCGAAAAAGCTCTTGATTAGTTTTGGCTGAGTTGTGACTCGTTATGAACTATAAATTCTAACTTTTTTGAAAATGATTCTAAAAAAACCCATGAATAATCCTATCTAAACTTTTCTTTCCTTCATACTTTTGTTAATTTTATCAGTAGCTTTTAACAAGTGGTTCACCTTGGCTCTGTGTACTTTTGAAACCAGCTCAAAAGAAAAGTATTTCTTGGATCAAGCACTGAGAAGAATACGCTTTCAAGTTTTGACTTTTTGAATGAAATAAACAAGCCTAAAACCACGAAAACTTCTTTCGTTTTTGCCAATAGCAAAGGAAAACTAATCTATGATCCACCTTATTTTATTTTAGCATTGTGGAAGTGCAAGATGGGAGCAATATACAAATGGTCCTGTTGAAGTTAAGGATTTCAGCATAGCCTCATTAGTCTATGAGTGCTTTATTGACACAGCAATTGCGTTCTTTTAAAATTAATTTTCAAAAATTTCCATAGTGATCTTTTTAAAATGTCAGTGAAATTTAAAAATAGAAAAGTGCTTTAGTGTCGATCAAGTAGCCTAACGGCAAGCACGGAAGCAGCAATTTCAGGAAGGAAGTGCTTTGTAATTCCAGGTATGGAAACAAACACCAACACACTGAAATCTTTTACAATTCTCTGTCTGTAAAGTACTAAAATAGTTTTTAAGGCGTCAACAAAACCAAGGATATCTATGGAATATTATTGTATATTTAATTATAAATTCAGTAAGTAGGAAAATTAGAAATAAAAATAGATTTTCTTACTGTGGCATGCTTCACCTATTTGAGTTTTTCCCGGTTCGCAACCACACAATTTTTTACCGTTTATAATAACACACGCGATGGAACCTGATCCACAATCACAAGTGATTATATCTGAAAAAAAGAAGATGCATGAGCAAGGTGTTCCTTAATCGAAGCACTTAATATATATTTTTATGATTCTTGTCAAACATAAAATTAAAAAAAAAGATATAGACAATAGGCATTTCATTTAATATTTAAAAGAAGAACATACGGTGCCAATCCGACTTTTCTTAGGCGAAAAATGTTAATTCCTGCCTAAGGAAACTTAACGAGAGAATAANTTCCAGGTATGGAAACAAACACCAACACACTGAAACCTTTTACAATTCTCTGTCTGTAAAGTACTAAAATAGTTTTTAAGGCGTCAACAAAACCAAGAATATTCATGCAATATTATTGTATATTTAATTATAAATTCAGTAAACAGGAAAATTAGAAATAAAAAATAGATTTTCTTACTGTGGCATGCTTCACCTATTTGAGTTTTTCCCGGTTCGCAACCACACAATTTTTTACCGTTTATAATAACACACGCGATGGAACCTGATCCACAATCACAAGTGATTATATCTGAAAAAAAGAAGATGTATGAGCAAGGTGTTCCTTTATAGAAGTACTTAATATATATTTTTATGATACTTGTCAAAAATGAAATTAAAAAAAAAAGATATAGACAATGGGCATTACATTCATTATTTAAAAGAAGAACATACGGTACCAATTCGACTTTTCTTCGGCGCAAGGAATTATAAAAAGTAGAACAGAAATTGTAATGACAAAATAAGTAAACAAAATACATAATAATTAATGCTAAGTGTAATTAAGTTTCTTACTATAACTTAGAAAAAACCAACCATAAAAAAATGCCATCATTACGCTTAGCCAATCAGAAGATATCGTATGTGCTACTCTTGGTTCCCACGTATCACAATGCTGATGCAAAATATCTATAATGTTTGAGGGATCATGGCTGAATATCCATTTAAAATCGAATTAATCATGCGAGGTGGCCCGATGATAAACAATCAGTAAAAATTGAAACAGAAATAATCGAATTTTTAAATTTGATGGTGGTCTAGTTTCTTCGGTTGTTATCACACTATGTAAAAAATGGATACTCAAATTTCACAAACCTTTCCTCGTTTTTGACGAAATCGTTGCCTGGTACATGCTCCGAGTGAACATTTCATCAAAATGATTAAGTAACGCTCGTCACTTCTTCGAGGAAACGAATTTCGTCAAACGAAAAGAAACATTTCGTCATTCTATAGTCGGTTCAACGAGAACTGTTAGTGGAAGTAAACATAAAGGCTGCTGTTTGATCGCCAACGTTTGCCACTTCAACGGTTTCTTCGCTGAATGGGCGATTTCGTTTGAATCGACAGAGCTTTCCCTTTTATAGAAAAACGAAAACAATATTCAGTTTTCGATACCTTAAAATTAGGTAAGAAAGTGCAAAATTAAAATATTTACCTGAAAATACGTTTCTAATTGTTTCAATAAGCACATAATTTTATTTTGAGAATAGTTTTAATGTATTTTTTCTTAAAGTTAAAATTAAATTAGTTTTAATATATTTTGCATAAATATCTATGAAAAACATAACTTTTAGGATTCCATCGTAAAAGTCGTATAGAATTGAAAGAATATGTTAAAAAAATACTCTTTATTTTCATAATTACAATTTTTTTTAAAAATTTATTAATAGTTAAATAATATTTAAAATAGTTTTATGTTTCACCGATTGATTTAAAAATATATTTGAAGGAACTTCATTTATTTCTATTTTTAAACTGTTATCTTTATTTTTCTATGGGAAGCATTACGAAAATAATTACACTAAAAGAAACTTGGAACTTTTTTATATGTCTCACAAATTCTTTAGTTAAGAAAAATATACCCACTTAATCTATAAAAAAAAGCAGTTTGCAAGCTTCTAATTCAATAGGCTTTTGAAAATGGAATGAAGTAATCAAAATTTTTTAATTTTAAGTAGCATTTGAATTTTTGTAATTAATTAACAACTGTACCGAAAGCAAAAATAATTATATTAAACTACGCAGAAAGGAACAAAATTTTAAGAATTACTGTATTAACGATGGATTAATCATAATTAATCATGGATAATAACGAATAATTATATCATTAAAAAGTAAAAATGAAACTAGGTAGGTTTTTGATGTTTGAAGTCTAATTTTTTTAACAGGGAATAAAATGTAGTTCTTTTAAAGTTTGGTAAATCAGAATCATCGTTCACAGCTTTGAGAACTTTGTTTATTGTCGGAATTCCGTTACGGCGGAAAAAATCATGAACTTTTCTTCTTATAGCATTTTCGTCGAAATTGTCAATGACATCCAAAAAAGTTTTACGTGATTTAGTCCTCTTCAGTGACTGTAATATACCGTCCCTTTTATACTCCTTAATAATTCCTTTTATATTCTTTAAAAACAGAAGCTGCGCTATCTCCGCATGGTCAGCCGCATCAATGATTGGAACATCTGGTTTTGAATGCACTTCTGTTTTATAAATGTTCAATATTATTTCCTTCTCAGCTTTACTCATGCAAGATTTCTTCTGCCTTTTTTTAGGAGGACTTAAAACCATCACTTTATTTTCCATATTGCTCATGAAACACCTACAAAAAGACACCACGGCGAAACAAACAACCCTTTAAGACAGCGTTTCCCAAAGTGTGGTACACGTACCCCCATGGGTACGGTAGCAGTTTAGCGTCGTTACGCGTTCATATGCGATATATCTTGCAGCAAACAAAAATTTCAAAAAAGTTTATTTAAAAACAAAGCTAGCCATGAAAATTTACGATTACGCATTTTTTTATTGGATATTTTTTGCAGAGTTAACAACAGCCAGTTGTGGTTTTTAACTTTTGTGCAGTTTGTTTATAGTAAAAAATACATTCATTTTTTATTAATGGTACACAGCGTTACGAAAAATTTAGAAAGGGTACACAAAAGACATAAGTTTGGGAAGAAATTTGTAAGAATAACATATATAAGAAAGAAAATAAATAGAATAAAAGTTTTTAAGAAATAAAATTTTTTGCTCTAAAAAATAAAAGTTTTTGCTCTAAGAAATAAAAGTTTTTGCTTGACTGATATGCGCGATTTGTCATTATTCCGGCACCAAGCAGACAACGGTATTGCGCCAAATAGCACTCCGCTTTGTTTACTTTCACTATCAGTTCTCGTTGAACAGACTATAGTTAAGAATTCTAGTCGAGTCCACGCTAGTCGAGGAGGCTCTGAGTTGAGGAAGCGTTTTCGTCATATATTTGAAAGTTCGTGTTTCGTCCCAAGTCACGTGGTTTGATGACGAAATTATTCTCAANCAGGTAACATCCACTTTCGCACTGAACTGTTTGGGACAATTGGCGTATCTGTAAAATTTGTTACAATACAGTAATGATTCATTGACTTACCGGTTCGGAGACGGAGTAACTCATCGGAGATGCCATTCTGACTAACATTGGTGACCGCTTCAACAGGAACATCAGAGACGACGACCGATTTTGCAGAAACTGTTATAAGTAGGTTGATACTCAAGAAGAAGGAGAAAAGCAAAAAGTAGGATGCCATGTTTCTTCTCTCAAGCCTTTTCCCACAATGATCTCGTACTTTTTTTCTTTTCTTAAAAAAAAACTATTCCTGCTGTATATTACAGAAGATAAACTCCTTTTATCCTTTTCTTATTGTGCAAAGATTGAAATATAAGAATTGAACAATGGATAAGAATGATAAGTTATCGCCTTTACCAAATTATTCTTTATCACTTGAGTGTGAAGAGTAGTTTCAAAACAACACAGAAATTAGAATATTGCTTGAGGTTTTGTTGATCTATTTTATTGTTATGTGTAAAATTTATGAACCGAATAATTGCTAAGGTTAACAGAAATACATTTTATCAGTTTACAATTTGTTTTAAATTTTAATTGCACGCCGAACACTTTATGCTATTCTATTTTAAAATCAGTGTGAAAAGGCGACTCACCTTTGGACTTGCAACTATCGATGTTTAACTCGGTAACCTTGTAAATTTGAGGTTCACCAGGAAGCGAAAGAACCTTTAACTCTTTGACTCATAGGGGACACCAGTGTCCCTTCCATATATTTTTTTCTAATTATAAGCAAAAATATAATTTGATATTTTTTAATTATAAAAAAAACAGTACCATAGTTACTAAATAATAGTTGTACTAACAGTAAAATACTTATACTAAAATACTTATACTAAAATCCAAAATCGGAAAAAATTAGTTTGAATTTCATTTTCATTCATATTTAAAAATTTATCTGAAACTGGTTTGAAAAATTAAAGAAATTTCAATAATGGATAACATTTCTCATAGATCTTAATAAATGAAAATGAGATCAAATTTTAAAATTTATTGTTTGAAAGTGAGGTTTGTTTGGAAACTTTTGCCTTAAGGAGCAAAAAAAAGATACCGGTATTTCATGCTGTATTTCAGAACCATAAGTCATTAAAATGCAAAAATATAATATTTTCTCTTATTTTAACTTTAAGTAATACAAAATAATGAAAGAAGTAAGAAAAGTATGCTTAACGCTAGATTGCCTAAGGAAGTCATTTTGACTGCTTTTAATTTCAATTAAAAAAGCCATGATGCATATAATGACGCAATTTCTTAGAATTTTGTACAGCATATTATTTCTTTATTGTTAATATATACTAATAACTTGTTATGTAACAGTAAATAATGTTAAAAATTAATTTTAAACAAATTTCTTTACACATTAGTTATTCTTTCACAATCCAGTCATTTTGACTGCTTTTGGGCAATATACTAAGTTTCAGTCTTTCTAGTGTTAAAGAAAGTTTACGTCAAAGGGATAAGAATAAGGAGTTAAAACCTTCACGGGTGACTTTTTGATGGACCTCTTCCGCATTTGCGTTACATTTTGATATCTTTCCCACTATTAAGCAGACGGTAAGATGATTCAAACCAATAATTTATCTGCCACTTGGGTTACTCACTGTCTAAAATGTGGTTAATGCGGACTGGGAGCGGAATTCGAATAGACCAACCATTGCCAGGACTCGAACCTGGATCACCTTTCTCATTGGGAAGTGAACGCTCAAACCCCTGAACTTCACTCACAATTAATATAAAAGAACTTAAATTTATGTACTAATTTAATAATCTTGAGTGATATTTTAACCTAATTTATATTTCAGCATTCACGCTCCTCCCACCATCATGACACGTATTTCCTAAATAGGTTTTAATAAAATGTGAATGAGTGTTAATATAAAATCATATTGTAACTTGCGTAAGGTTTCTGCTTTTATTTTAGATATTTTTTTTAATTAGAAAGAAAAACAATCATAACAAGTGCACATTAAGACCAAAGATTGACTGAAGTTATTTAACAATAAAATTAATGGAGCATGTTGTATTTATACTAAGTTGCAGACATTTTCGCTGTTATTAAAAATAATATTATAAAAACAATATTAATAATATTATAAAAAGCACAATTAAAGAGCAAAAAATAATATGAAAGTGAAAAATATAATTGACATTTAGGTATTTCATTGTAGAAAACGAAACAAATGCACACTTTTATTGAAATCAAGCGATGCATTTGTATGAAATTAAAGTTGAATTATTAAGTAAAATAACATTTAAAAAAACGAACAATATTTTTTTGGTCAAGGCGAATTCTTATTACATTCATGTCATTTTCGTACAAATTTAACTTTTCAACCAATTAAATTGGAGATAAATATCAGAAAATGATCAATTTCATCATTACCAGTGCAGTATTTACACTCTTTGTAAAAAAGATAGGCGTATCAAGGTTAAGTGATTTTTCCACGTCCCACACAATTCTCCTCACCATTATTATGGTTTTAGTATATCCAAAGCCTCCTAGAGAAGTGGGGCCATTTCTCTAGGAGGCTTTGGTATATCTCGCTCTTCCCCTACGCCAGTTTAACCCTACTGTATTTGTTGAAACGTACTATCTTTGGAAAAACCATGGTACCGGAGAGGGAAAAATTGTGTTGAGTGAGAAAAATCTGAGACGTCTGTTCTATTTATAAAGAATACAAATACTTATGACTCACTTAAAAAATGAGTCATGTTGTTTCACTATTTTTTTCAATAACTTAAGGTGTTGTACTGAAAATTTCGTTTAATATTAGAAACTTAGAAATAAATGAAAATTAAAAACATGATGTTATGGGTGTTTACTGTAAATTGCAGTAAGTGTAACTGACAACAAAAGTTACTTTATAATTAATTCTTTTTTGACTAATTTTTTTAATCGAAAGTCAAACGCATTTAAACTTTGCAATTATCACATCCATAACGATGAAATTTTGTTTAAACACAAAATAAATTTAAAAAAAAATTATAAAATTAAAAAAAAAAATTAAAGATAGCAACAAAAAATATCAAATTAGAAATTGAGTTTTATCAAATTCCTCGTCAGTGTGGTCTTGTAAATATTGGGCAACTATAAGTACCTTTAAATTTTGATTTAGGAATTTGTCCGAAATTGGGATATTAAACGATCTTTCATCGTCTTACATAGTTAGAATTCTAATCACAGCTTTTAAGTCTTTTGCTAAATAATTCAACGCTGCTCTTCATCTATCGACTTAGACTTTTGTGAATCATCCCACGTTTTGAAAAATTTCAATAATTTAGGTTACGATATTTATCGCATTCTTTTATTTTCCATTGTTTGGAATTACTTTTAATTTAATTTCTGCATTTACTATAGATTTCCCACCCAATCCTCAACACTTTTTTCTTATCTTCCTTATATTATTATCTGGTTCAAGCTTGTTACTTTTCTTCCACTGGCTAAACTTCTTATTTTTTCCTGCATTGCAGCTTTTTTTTGTCTCATTTCCTATTCAACTGTCATTTTGTGTTTAGACACTGAGATAAGTTTTTGCTTATAGAATTGTACAAATTTATAGAATTATATGTCCATTTCAAAACCTTTATTTGTATTTAAACCCGTAGATTCGATTTATTTATACGTAGCACAAATCCTAACTTATTCTCTTTTGAACTAAGATGAGATTTGAGAACTCTATCTAACCGGGAAAAGATCGATATTTAGATTAGATAGCAAGGTTAAACTCTCTCAGACAAAACAGCGATTTAATAAAAATAGGGATGAAAATTATTAACTTTAGTTTAATCAGTGTGGGAGAGTATTTAAGAAACACATATCTTCTATGTTAACGACAGGAAAAAAAAACCTTTTGTAAAGAATTTTTTTGCTATTTGCAATATTACTCGTAACAGATTAAGCACTTGCGCAACAAGTAAGGAAAGCGTTTCAGAATTTTTTTTCTTTGTTAAGATGGGGCATGTAGTAAATATTATAAGGTTTCTTAAACTGTACTGACAATTATGAATTTTTTCTACATTTTTTGAGAAAGATAGAGGTGTGAGAGTGTCTAGAACCACCATTTACGAATAGGTAAAAAAATTTGCCGAGGTATAGTTTGTCTACGGTAAGAACTCCCCCCTGTAAAAGTCTGAGGCCGTCTNCTGCCACACGGCGTGGCATAGACCGATAAAGCTCCCGGATGGTCTCTTGCGGTATTTCCTGCCAAATTCGATCCAATTGTCGAACGAGGTCATCAACATTCCATGCCAGATGCATTTGATTTCCCATCATATCCCAGACAAGCTCGATGGGAGAGAGATCTGTTGATCTGGCAGGCCAAGGAAAAGTTTGAAAAGCTTGCAGACAGTTCATAGCAACACGTGCCGTATGTGGTCTGGCATTGTCCTGCTAAAAAACCAGCCCAGGGAGCTGCAAAAGGAACGGTGGCAAAACAGGTGTTAGGATGTCGTCGACGTAAGTGCAGTAAGTGTACCTCTAATGACGACCAAAGGGGTCCGGCTGTCAAAGGAAATGGCACCCCAGACCATAATGCCTTGTTGAGCGCCGGTGTGGCGTGCAATAGCGAAGGCAGGATCCCCCCTCTGCCCTGTGCGTCTCCAAACACGTCTTAGGTGAACGTCAGGACACAGGTGGAAACGGGATTCTTCGCTAAAGATTATACGTCCCCAGTCGGCATCATTCCAGCCTGATCTATTCAAAACATTTATGCATACGAAATTTCAAAGCAATCGGATGTTTGCTTCTTGGTGCATCGATTTTTTTTTGTTATACAGTGTATTTCATTAGTATGCTTTTGGGGCTGATAATGAAAATTAAACCTGTTGTAAAATCACAAAAAAAAAAAAAAAAAAAAAAAAAAAAAAAAAAAAAAAAAAACTAAAGGAGTAGTGAAAAGTGATTATTTGTTACATCTTACAAGTTATTATATCTGTTAATCAAACGGGTTTTTAATAATGTTTATCTCATCTTCCAAACTAGTGATTCCAAAGAATAGTATATCATTTTGGTTTTTTTCCAGCGATTTTGTTTCATTCAATTTTTTTTCATTTTTTTCATGTGAGTTAAGATACTTTTTGAAAGCAGTGCATTTTTTCTCTTTCCAATACCCTTATTTTCCACTTTGATATTTTACCTAAAAATTCTGAAACTTTAAACCATCGATTTTATTTCTGTGAACTACAATATAGCATCTAGTATTATAATAAAATATTTTAAAGTTGTACAATAAAGAGTAGCATAATATATAATAAATAAAATTGAAATATTGCAACTAAGTGTATTTTATTGCTTTAAATGCATTTTATTACCTTGTACGTAATGAAAGAAGAAAAAAAAAACATTTTTTTCAAGAGCTGAAAAAACTACGAATTCCGAAAGAAGACCACATAAAATTTCAATAAATGCTCATTGTGTAATAAATATTCAATATCTTTGATGATTTTTAATTGTCCAGTAATCTTTTCAATGCAAACAATGTAATCTCTTCCATCAAAGCAATCTCTTCGTTTACTATTGCCTGCTAAAAAATAGAAAATGGAATTTGAAACATATTTGCAATATGATATATACTTTATAAAATACATATAATACTATTTTATACATCATTTATTTCTTTGTCTATTTATATGTTCTACCAAATTAAACAAAAAAGTATGTGGACATATTGAGAACTAAATTCGAATTAAAACCCTATAAATAATAGTTTTGATATGAACAAGTTTAAAATTTATTTCCACAAGTTAAACCTTCAATGACTTAGGACAAATGAGTTTCAGGAACATGATTCATTATGGCTCTAAAAATAATCCACTTTAACACGTTGAATACCGTGGGGGTCACCGGTTACCGGCGCTGAGTTTGATCGTAGCGCCACAGGGGTCACAGGTGACCGACAAAGGCAAGATTATTAGAAACACATAATTCGAGTAAATTTTTAATACTTTTAATTTTTTTATATTATTATCGTTACTAAAATTGTTTGAAGAAATTAATGCAATACATATTGAGAAAATCATTTTGGCCAGACGAACAGGATAAAAAAAAAATAAAAAATTAAATAAATAAAAAAAAAAAATTAAATGCTGTTATGAAGTTTATAATCTAGTACTACAGTTAAACTTATGAATACCTTTTGAAAACGAAGAATCCAAATCCTACAAGGGTGATAATGAAAAGTACAATTAGGATGATGCCGCCTGTTCTCCATCCAGCAGAAACAACAACTGGAAACAAAAAAGAAATTTTTAGTGAAATTACTCGTCATAAGATGATTTGAATTTT